GAAAAATCCTGGGGTTTGCCCGGGTTCTCCAGGGCAGAAGCCCCAGGTGGGCAGGGGGGATTTGGCCTGTTGAAACACTTCTGCTGTCCCGTTTGACCAGTGGCAGAATGGGACGTGCTCTCGTCCAGTTAATTTCCATTTCTTCCCTCCCCATCACCACAGGTGACAGCAGAGCCCGCTCGGGGCTCTGGCCGGTGCTGATGTGAGAAACCAGGGGAACGAACGTGGCACCAGAGTGCGGGCAGGGATTGCCTTCCCTCTGGTTTATCCAACCCTCCCAAATCCTGAAATACAGAGCAAAACGAGAATTGGTTGATGCAGATGCGCATACGTGCACACACAGAACCCCAGACACAAGTGTCTGTTTGCACACAAATAAATATGTGTGATTTTTTTGTTTGTTTTCTTTACGCGTATGCCCAGGTGATTCCCTGTCCTGAGGACAGCCTTGCTTTGTGTCCGTAGGGAAATTCCAAACGCGTTGCACACCTCTACTCCAGAGTTCAATTTCTTTTACATAGACGACCTCGCTTCAGATGTGTTACCTTTACTGATAGGATCTTTTCTTGTAGCACTATACCTTGTGGGAATATTTTTTGATGTAAACCTAATTTGAGAAGCTTATTAAAAATAGAAACTTTTTTTGAAGCACTCACATTGAGGAGTACAGGTAATGTTTTAAAAAAATTGCACAAAAGAAAAATGAATGTTGGAATGATTCATTCAGTGTTTGAAAAAGAGACGGCTCTGTTTGAACAGTGAGTTTCATACCTTGTTTGTAAAAAAAAAAAAAAAAAGTTTTTAAATAAAAAAGCAGAGAAAGGTTGAAAGTTACATGTTTTTTGTATATAGAAAAATGTCATGTCTAGATGATCTGATTTGTATTGGCTTTGGCCAGGAAGAATTATTACTTAAAAGGCTCTTACAGAACAACTGTGCTTAATTTTCTGTTCGTATTACATGGGTCCCATTTGTGGGGAAGGGAGTCATGCTCCACACGCTCTTTATTCCTGTGCTGAAAAAAAAACAGCCCCTGGAGCAGCAATTCTCCAGTGCAGCTACCGGGCACTTCAAAGGGTGGCTACTCTGCCAAACCAGAGTCTCGCTCTCCAGCTGTATTTCGGCTTTGAGCTCTCCTGCCTGCGCCGAGGGAGCCCCTGGCACCCCCGAGGGCACGGCCGGTGTTGGGGGAGGCCTCGGCCGAGCCCCTCGGTAGGTGTGGGGTGTCAGGGCAGCCCCGCTGCCGGTGCCAGGGCAGGCAGGGTGGCAGCAGCCCCGGGGCTGGGGAGCCGCTGCCAGCTGAGCACCCGCCTGCTCAGTCCCCGCCTGAAGCCTTTCGATCCTGGTTGGTTTGGTTTTTGGTTTTTTTTCCCCTCTCTCTGGGATGCTGTTCCATGTTTTTTCAGCACTTCCTGTTCCAGACGAAACCCAAAGAGTATAACCCTGAGCAAGAAGTGCTTGTCGCAAGGGATCCTGGCCCAGCACTAGCAGCAGAGCGATACCCCCCAGCCCCCTCTCCCCCTCCTCTGCTGCCCAAGCCCCAGGGAGCAGCCCCGTGCCCCCAGCACAGTCCCCGGGACGGTCTCCATCGGTGATGGCGAGACCCGTGTTTTTCAGAAGCCAAAAGGAGAGGATCCCGAGGCAGTATCTGAGGAGTGGGTCCTTTTCCTGTCCAAAGATTACGCTGGGTGGGCAGGGGGAGTGGGGGGGCTTTCCAGGCTGCTCCCGTGCCCCTGCCCGGCGGTGACCCACGGGGCAGAGACACTCGCCCTGCCCAAGAGACCCCCGGGTGCTCAGAAAGCTGGCCCCAGGTGTGTTACGATGAAGTGCATTCAGCCAACAGGTAGTATTTATACAATAACAGTCTCTAAGGTCTCTGTAGTTTTTTTTTCTTGTCGTTAGCTGAAAGGACTCAAGTCTTCCACTGAGGATTTTATGGAGGCTTCATCCAAGGTAGTTTCTTTTTTATTTTTTTGTTCCATTTCTATTTTGAGCGGTCAAAGCTCCTGTGCCCTTTCCCTCGACCACGCAGTAGGTGTGCATTGGAAGTGGTGTTTGCAGCGAGCGTTGGTCACTCGTTGAAGCTGTCGTGGCTGTACTATGGGATTGCTGACCAGCGGGACCCTCAGGGCCCAGCTCCGAGCCCGGCGCCGAGCCGGGGTGGGACCTCTGGCTCCCTGGGCTCTGGCCCCTTCAGGCCGGCCGGCGAGGGGCTCCCGCCCTGGCCTTGGCTTTAAAAATCCAGGACCCACCTATTCTCCCTGGGAAGGCGCCCTGCAGAACTCCTGTCCCAGGCAGTCGGGGTGGGACGGGGGTAGCTGAGGGCAAAAACGGGCCGGGGGCGGCTGCGGGGGGCTCCCTGGGTGTCTCCCGTCGGGCCGGCCTCGTAGCGAAGTTACTAATCTCTTAAGGCATAGATACGACTCTTCACGACAGTCAGCTGATGTTGAAACTCACTAATGTATGTATTTGCTCTTTTTTTTTTTTTTTTTTTTGTTGGAATAATATATTAACTTGTTGAACACTGTTCTTTTCGCAGTGTTACGAGAGGGGGGGAGGGAGGGAGGGGGGATTTTTTCCCAACCTTTTTCAGTTCGGGTGAGCTACTGAAAATCATTTTGTACTAGCTATGTCACCGCTCCCGGCCGCGCCACGTGGCCCTGCCGGGACGAGGTTTAGCCGTTCTACAGCAGTAGTTTTTAAGGTCTCTTCTTTTTTTTTTTTTTTTTTTCTTAAAAAAGAAAAAAAATTGTCTGGTATTACTAATGAGGGTTGTTGCAAATCACACTTCCAGTGTAGTTCCTAGTGTAGGCCCAGTAAAAGGGATATCGCAGCTTTGTGTTGGGGAGAGATTGAGCTGACATGGCCAGTACAAAGGAGAAATAGGGAGGGAATAACGTTTTGCACCTTATTGAAAAGAGGAGAAGATTTTAAGTGCATACAGACATAGTTAAGAGCTTTTATTGTGACAGGAGAACTTTTTTCCATATGCGTGCATACTCTCTGTAATTCCAGTGTAAAATATTGTACTTGCACTAGCTTTTTTAAAACAAATATTAAAAAAAAAAATGGAAGAATTCATATTCTATTTTCTAATGGTGGTGTGTCTATTTGTAGGATACACTCGCGTCTGTTTATTGAATTTTATGGTCCCTTTCTTTGATGGTGCTTGCAGGTTTTCTAGGTAGAAATTATTTCATTATTATAATAAAACAATGTTTGATTCAAAATTTGAACAAAATTGTTTTAAAGAAATTGTCTGTATACCAGTACAAGTTTATTGTTTCAGTATACTCGTACTAATAAAATAACAGTGCCAATTGCAAACGTGTGATTTGTTTTTATGAGTTACCACTGGATGCCAGAGAGCTTTCCTAGGGAAATAATTTGCCTAATTTAATCCCCCCACCCCACCCCCCGCCCATGCATTTTGGATGATGCAGAAACACATACCCACCCATGGCCATAAAACCCTCTCCAGACCATCGCAGTGAAGCTCTTTATTGCATAACACAAACTTGCCACTTACAACTTTTGACCGCTGGAAGCGATGGTGTCGGGGGCGTCGCGCAGAGGCGGGGAGGCAGTTGCTCCTCGTGGCCATCATCTCAGCAGGGCCCAGCGGGGCAGGAGAACATCCCACGCTCACCAGGTCCCATCGGCCGATGCCGCAGAAGCGCTGCGTGGTTACGGCAGGCAACAGCAAGGGGGTTCAGACTCCGCGTTATTTATTTATGTACAAAAACTTCACCCAGGAAACATCGTGCCAAGTAGCTGCTGGGAGGGCTTGCGGGAAGAGCTGGATGACCACCAGGGAAGCAAAGGCTGCTGGGGGGGGGGGGGGGCTGG